GGACAACCCCCCTAGAAATGATTTGCCTGCCTCATTTGGTGGTAAACCACAGCACAGGTTTCTCAGACAGTCTCCAGTATCTGAAAATACCCCCCCTGTGTCCCCACGGTCACAGTACTCACAAAGTTCCCTGGGCAGCTTTTTCTCTGGTTCTTATCAGAGTTTATCTGGAGAAAGTTCCATTTACTCTGTACCACACACTCCAGATGAAGCTCAGAGCCAAACATTTACTTGGAGATCAGATACTGAGACTTCTAATAAGTTATTCACAGGCAGATCTCAAATTAATGATGTGACACATGCTTATCAGGATGCCACATCTTACTCAAAACTATCACCTCATGACGCTACCAAAGACAGAGCGATTCATTCATTTTCATCATTACATGCATATTCCAGTGTTCCAGAAAGTAACAAATATAAATCCTCAAGGAAGGCACATGAGACTGAAGAATTTCCATTCAGTCATAAGCTTAGCCTTGCACTTCCTCCTGATGACCTCTCTTTTGATCAGACTAGCATCTCATTGCCACCCCATTCTAACAAAATGAATACATCCCACAAAAAAAGTCTTCCATTTGATCATACCAAAGGTTCACCACCACCAAATGTAGTTCTACAAAGTTTTCAAGTGCCCCACCAGAAGAGACTGTCACCTTTTAATCAAAGGTTAAATGCTGATTATTTACATGAGCAACCAGTAAATTCATCAAAAAATGTTGTGTCTGCACTGCAGGATGAGCCTCAAGCTGTTAAGCCAAAGCAACCTCCTACAGTGAACAGTATGATCCACCCTGAATCAGTTTTAACCTCCAATACAGCTCATCATTACAAGTCTAAGAGTTCCGGCAAAAACTTTCCAAGCTATGCTCATGCCCAACATTCAAATGCTACGCCTAAAATCGAGCGTCCGCAAAGGCCACCGAGTTATCAACGAGCCATACAAAGAAACTTTATGTTAAAACATAATGTACCTGTTGACATCACTACAGATGACACAGAGAGACAGAAGGAAATAAGTGCCCGTGCAAAGGCCTTGTATGAGAAGTCTTTGGAGATTTATGATGCACAGCGCCAGGCTAAATCTCATGATTTCAAACAAGTGGAAAGTTCTATGACTGCTGAAGATAAAACTTCTAGATTACACGATGCACAGCTTGGCAAAAATTCACAATTCACCAGTGACAATTGTCAAATGTCACAAAACAGCAGCTACTTCAGGGATGATTTAAGCAAACACCCAAATAAATTAGTGTCACTGAGTAGAAATGATAGTAAACTATCAGACATAACCTCCTCAAGTGAAAGTTCTGTGTCAACATTGGGTAAACATTCAGATTCATTTGGTGGATGCTCAGACATAAGTAGTGTCAGTAGCGCCACCATGTCATCAACCAGTTCTGATAAAATCTCGGTCATTAACCAAACAGCCCTTGATTCAAATGTAGGCCACGTTTTAACAGAAAATTATGAAGATCACATGAATCAGAAGAACATTCAAAGTGTTGAGCAGGATAAAGACATAAGAAATGTAAATAGTAATGCCGACACGAACGTGGCATCAAAAAAGACTCCAAGACAGATGTACTTAGAATCTATCCAGCAATTTGAAGATAAGGGAACAAAATTATCTTCAAAATTATCATTTTCATCATCAAACGTGCACTCCGAAATATTTCAGAGTAATACGTTTCCTTCTGTAAATCCACTTATAAATGGCCCATTGTCTGAATCTAGATCAAGAGCTAAGCCTCCAAATGTTGCCTTACATAGGAGTCAGAGTGACTCTGCCGAGCACACGAATCAAATGGAAGGTAACAATTTTGAAAAGCAGCGGCCATCTGTAAAATATCTTAAAAGAGAAGAAACCAATAAAAGATTTGAAAAACGAAAGGACAAAACTCATCAGCTTGAACATTCACCAAGGATAAAGCAGCCAACTGACACTGATGCGAAGACTTCACAAAGTACGATAAAATCTGAGCGCCGTTTAAATTTCCTTAAAGCCAAATCCTACTTTCATCAATCTACCGATACCTTATCATCTACAGCTGTGTCTCCAATTTCTATACAACATTCATCTTCATTATCGTCCATACCATCCTTATATACCAAAGAAAACCAACAAAGTTTATTGAAATCAGCAACTGTTCCTGTTAATACAAGTGCTGACTTGGCCATAACTCAAAGAACATTACCAAGCAAATTCTCCATCTCCCAGTTTCAAACAACAAAGAAAACTACACAAACAACTAGAGAAAACAGACAGGACCTCCCTTGGAGTGTAAAAGATCTCACATCAAAATGGGACAAAAATGGAGCCAATGCCTCGGAAAAGATCATTTCTAAAAATAATTTGAACTCTCCTCCATATCATTTTAGAAAATTTCAAGAATTTTCTCCGGTGATTACACCTAAAAAAAGCCCTCAGCATGAAGCCAGTGCTAAATCACCTGCAATGTCAGGAGTCTTCAGACAATCTGGCCCACAAACTAATTTATCATCTCGTTCCTCTAATGATAAAAGCTCCTCACCTTTGGATAAAAGATCAACTGAATCACCTGATGAGATTATTTCTGATAATGCAAAAATAACATACATTTGACTCAATAATAATGATATTGTAAATAAATCTTGTCAACTGGTATGCATGTCCTGGTGCCTTTGATGTTTGCCATTTCATTCCTATTTATTCTCAGCAGATTATATCAAGTATTCATTGAATAGTGATTGATTATTTTTAATATATCAGTTTATAATGATGATTTCTTTAATGAGCCACCATGGCTATACCTACCTAAACAACTGTCTATCATCCCATTAAATGTTTATATGACGATATCAACACTGAGAAATACTCTAAAATTTAGTAATCTTTTTTTATTTGAAATGTAAACATCTTTTTATATATTGTAATATAATTAAGGAATGTTCTATGTAATATTTATTGTAAAGTACATGAAATATTTGATAAATATGTTAAATGCCTTGAAAATGTTGAATGGTTTATCAAAACGTGTGAGTCGGTGCATTGTTCTATGACTATCACATTTTCTTTCTGAGTAAAAAACACTTTCAGTGTATATTTATGAATTAATCCAAGGTAAACTAGATGTCTTCTTTTTCTAAAGTAAGTTAGTAATACTGAAAATTTAATTTTAAAAAAATAAATGCAGGTAAAATCTCTACCCAATGGCTTAGAAATGTATATCCTTGAAGAGTGCCCCACAAGCCTGCTGTGTACAAGATCAAATCGAGTGAACATAAAAAAACATGAGTATAAATTATTTTGATCTGTGAGAGGCAGAACATAACATCATTAGTACCTTACTGTTCATATTCTTACATTTAAAAAAAAAAATCAGAATGAATAATTTAATAATTTTTGTTTCGTGGCTTTTATTCAAAATTGTCAACTTACTTTACCAGCTTGGTTAACTATTTTACTATTTTAGTGGGAGCGGATTTGAATATTGGAAGTTTAAAGCACAGATTATTCTTGGGTAATAAACTTAACTTTATTCTTGAGTATAACAAAATTCCTGGATTAATGTTAACATTGGCATTAGACAAGAATGAAAGATATACCATAATAAAAATCAAAACAACACATATTTGAAGCCAAAGTGAATGAACTTAGTCTTTCAAAATTCTAATGTTCTCAGCTGATGTTGCAATTATATCATTAAATTTAGAGCTTTCCCGTTTTTCTGATTCTAAAAATCCAGAAAGTTTAGTAAAAAGACAGTTAATTTGTGTGAATATAAAGATATGGGAGAAATTACATTTAGAACATTTCGGTTTTTTCTTAATGCTAAAAAATAGAAAATTTTAGAAGTAGGTCTTATTAGTTTATCTTTACTTTATAATCAGTTGTTCTCTGGATTGCTTAAATGCTCATTTGTAATCAATTTTTAAAGGGTATTGTTTCACATTTTTTTCAGTTTATGTTTATAAATTTATATATAAAAACAAAGTATATCAATATAATATAACACTTATCCAGTAAGGTATGCTACACCTTATGCAATTTTACACAAATATTTTCTGCACTAGCTGATTTTTACGTAGTTAACTTTTCAAGCCAAATTAAATATCTGGGGAAAGTTTATTATCACGACACCTGTTTTTTAAAAATAACAAATGTACTGGCTGGTTGTTTAAAAATGTTACTACTCTAGGTCATGTGTGAAAATTCTAAAGAGACATTAAGAGAGTCCTATAGGTAGTTTCATCAAAAACAATGTTCTTCTCATTTATATTTAATCAGCTTAAATATAGAACATAAATTGCCATAAATGAACAGTCCTCTATTGTCATGTTGCTATTATTAGGGATATCCATTTTCTATTGTCTTGTTACTTATAGTGAAAAGATGTTATTCTTTCAATATGTCAATAGCAGTAGAAGATCTTTATTTGATGTGATTATGTTCAAAACACAATAATTTAATTAGTTTCTGATTTTTTAAATGTAATGGCTATTTTATAAATTTATTTAATTCAATTTAAATTGGTCGAATTATATTTTTTTTTAACAATTTGTTTATATTACCCTAAATTCATTAAAAACAGGTTAAAAATAGGAACTTGTAATAATAATAGGAACATAACATGGCATGAATATATTTAAAAAGAAGATAACCAAAGGATAATAACTTTAAATCTTAGCTGAATCGGTGTAAGATAACTCTTTTTATAAGAACGGTAAAGAAAGTTCTGTCTGTTATACCGGCCAGTACCTTTTAGAGCTTTATATCCTGTTTTGTTTAAAAAAAATTATGACATCAATGTGTTTGATTATATGACTTCCATAAACATGTGCACCTTGCCAGTAATTAATAGACTATTCAAAAAGACTCTCTTTGTTTTATTTTTGTGAAAGATCACAGAATTACCTCAAATTTAATAAGAGTATTAATTTTTTTTGTTTTACTTATCCAAAAATTTAATATATTTTGTGTTCATGAAGGTACATTCCTTGAAATTAGAATGTTTTTTACTTTGAAACATATTTTTATGTGATTACTCTGTTGATAGGTCATTTACTCAACTCTACAGGAATAAGTATAATACAGTGCACTGCAAGTGCTCACAAATATCAAAGCATTTTATATCCTGTCATAAAAAATGCCTAGAATAAAAGTAAGAACACAAGTTTCACAATGCAGTTTAATTTGTTTTTTTAATACAGCAACATGAGCATTTCAATGTGCATTGGCTTTAAAAAAATGTCCAAAAAAAAGTAGAGGGTTTTGTCCTCTAATGCCGTTTTTCCATAAATAGGTCCATTTATAGTCTACTAATGATATTTTTTTCAAACATGGTTTTAATTAAGAGTTAGTGATAAATAGGCCTATCAAACATGGTTTTTATTAAGAGTTAGTGATAAATAGGCCTATCAAACATGGTTTTTATTAAGAGAAGTGATAAATAGGCCTATCGAACATAGTTTTTATTAAGAGTTAGTGATAAATAGGCCTATCTCCAAACATATAATTTTATTATAAGACAGCCATAAAAAAAAAAATGTATAAAGGACAGCATTAAATGGCTAATAGATAATTAATAGTTATAAGTCCCATCTAATTGGCCCATAATAAACTAATTTTTAATTGGTTAAATAAAAATAATAAATCTGGCATCTGTAACTGGGGCAATGGTGAACTTGTCCGCCTGTCTGCCAACTTAAAAGTTTGAAAAGGCTGCTCTAATGTCTCTTCTAAACTCTGCTAAACAAATATTGAGATAGAAAAGTTATTTTTAAATAAGTTCTTTTAAATTATGTGTGTTTAAACAAAATTCTAAAATTCTAATAGCAAGAAATAATATTAAAATCTATATGCTTTGATGATGCTTTGGATGTTTTTAAAAGATTATTTTTTATTTATATGGCATTACAAAATGTAAAATACAAATTTTATCTATAGGAAAATTCAAAATATTTTACCTTGTAAGGTATTTAATATTAAATTTTTCTTCCAGGTCAGCTAGATACAGTGCCTTCTGTCATTTGACTTTATCATGTGTTAAATATTTATGTAAATAATATTGAACATCACAAGTGCCAGTTGATCAATTAACTGAATGTAATGCATCCTATAATTAGTATAATTTAATATTATGATTTTTTTTTTTTAAATCTCAGTCTTGTTCTTTCATTGTTCATTAAATATACCTTTCCAATCAATGGTGGGGTTTTGGCAAACAAATGTTGTAGAATGACTCAGGACAAAGTTGTTCAAGTGGCATCCATTTAACGAATCCCTTTTCTTTCAATTCTTCAGCTGATAAAGCTTCTCCAAAGTAGTGTGGATCCTGAAACATTTAATGCATCATAATTCCTTTAGTACTTGAATTAAAGTCATGGAGGCCAGGCGCAAACAACTAGCGCATTTTTTAAAAAAATAGGCCACCTAACCACTACAAAAAATAGAACACAATGGCGTAGGAAGAGGGAGGCAGAGGGTGTGGTCAACCCTGGGCAGCACTTTTTGTGCTTAAAATTTTCGGTCCAATTTGTATAGCATATATGGCTGCTGTATGAATTGATTTTTTTAGGAATTAGAGGTGGCAATGTCAAGGACTGTCCCAGGCATCATAAACTCTCTAATCTACTCCACTCATACAATTGTGTTTGAATCGCTTTTCATAGTTTTAGTTCAGCTGATTAAATATTTTATCATTTTAAAGTCTTCCAGTGGCAACATTTAAAGTACAGATTGAATTAATGATGGGATGAAAGATAAGACTTGTCAAGATTTGTCAAGATTTTTTTACTCTTCAAAAAATTAAGTTTACAATTTTTCTTGTTGATCACAAAGATGAGTTTATCCATTCAGTTAATTACAAATTAAATAAATATGCAATGTAAAACAAACATTCCTAAAGCAATCTCCCATATTATAGGAACCCGGTACATTATATAGAGCATTGATTTTTCATCAAATTAACAGCACCCACTCTAGTCATCATTCCATAGTGTTTATACAGCTATATGTATCCCCCTGGAAGTCAGACTTGTTGCTTCATTTTTCAAAGCAGTCCACTTTGAATGATTTTGTGTGCACGAACAGGCAGCAACAGTATCAGACAAATTGAGCAAGTGTGCCATTCTGGACACCACCAGGCAGCAACAGTATCAGAAAAATTGAGCAAGTGTGCCATTCTGTACATGACCAGGGAGCAACAGTATCACATAAATTGAGCAAGTGTGCCATACAGGGAGCTGCCCTGTTAATTTCCAGAACAACTGTTTGAACTCCAGAATATTTTCTTGGCATGTTACTGGCATTGTCATAAGTTTTTCCTACTCAATCGTTTAAATTAATTTCAATATAGATTTTTAATTATAAATACATGCTGATGAGTGTGAGAAATATTAGGTATTTTTAAAGTTACTCAATGATCAATAATAAGTGATCTTGAATTCCCCAGCTATCATAAATAGGGATTCTTTGCATCTTATATAGACTTTCTATGCTTTTTAAAATGAGCAAAGATTAACAAATCACATTCAACAATATGTCCAACACACCTTAAGATATTACCATTAGGTTCTTCAATTTACATCTGTACATTCTCTAAACACCGATCCACATGAAGCAAGAAATTTGATATCTGATACAACGTGAAGCAAGAAATTTAATATTGGATAATGGTAGTTTCAGATTGCCCAAGTGTCTGTTCTTGTCATTGTTGCTGAACTGCATCCAATGCCTGAAGTTGCCAATCAGACCAGAAATACAATCAATAAATTTTTCTTGACCGGATGATCAAAAGTTACAGATAATTAACTCTATAATTTGTGAAGTGATAACTTGTTTGGATAACAAAATCAAATTTTCAAGGTAGGCCTGGCACACTTAAGCCAATAGTGTTCTCAGAATGGTTGTTTCAATGGGAAGACATTTCTTATGAATCTCTACCCTTATATTTCAACCATCCACAAATAAGACAACTGGCCTTTTGATAATATGTATTTAATAAAAGAAGCGCAACAAACTTCTTGTTTATTTATAATGGTAATTTAAAAATACTATTAAATTAAACTGTAAGAACTCACAACAACAAGCAAAGCCTGGTTTGTTAAACTAACACCCATGATTCCTTTTGAGGCATTGTCCATCTCTCCCCCTGCATAGAAATACCAGTAATAATGATTTAAATATTGCTGACTTCTAGATTCTGGACTATTGCGTAATAAAAAAACTTTTAAATTTTAATGAACCACTATTTTTTTTTTTAAAACATAAATGTTTCTATTTCAAAATTTTAGCAAAGGGGGGAGAAAGCTCAAATGAGGTTTAAAAATGAAGAAAAAAATTAATTTTATTGAAACCAGCATTGTTTATGTTTATGTTAACAAAATTTTGCATTTCCCTATAGATAAAAATAGTATTTAACATTTTGTAATACCATACAAATAAAAAATAATCTTTTAAAAATATCATGCATTGCTAGTTTATACTTGCCATTTATACTTATGCCTGCAACAAATGCAATGTGAAGAAATGTCTACCATTTAAAGGGGTGTGGACTTGTATAGAGACCATACTCACAAAGATATATATAGAAATTTAAAAGAAATGATTTTACCCATCATAAGCGGAGAACCAGTTATCACAAAATGGGAATGCAACTCTTTCAAATACTCCTTGACTTCCGAACCTTTAGTGACATGTATAACTTTACATGATATCTGAAACAGAATGACATTGAATGAACAATCAAAATGTCCAGTTGCAACAAGTGACATGATTTTTATGAAAAATAAATGACATCTGTAGGGGCATTTTTAATTTGCAAATCGTAGTTTGTTAGGTTCCTTTCTGACTCTATCACAACATTGCAGTCATAACATGGCAATCATGGTGTACTTCTACAATTTACTACAAATCAAAGCTAACATTTTATCTATAATCATTTGAATCCTCAATCCCTACCCTGTGGACATCAGAATTATTTTTATAGTGTTGTGTCAGATATGGGTTTTATGCAAACTGTTGCATTTTTATCTAATTTTTCAAAAAGAGTTGTCATGCTATATTTATTAATTTAGTTTCAGTCTAAACAAATGAAATAAGCTTACAAAGTTTAGTTAATGAATTATATTTTTTGTGTTCATGTAACTCATTGTTTCAAATAAATAATGAATGTTGCGGGGAAAGAGTTGCAAAAAACAAACAAAACAACAACAAAAAACACACACACACAAAAAGGGGGGGGGGGGGGCGGAAGACAACAAACCCATACATTGTAAAAAAAATCTAAATAATAAATAATGAATGTTGCGGGGAAAGAGTTGCAAAAAACAAACAAAACAACAACAAAAAACACACACACAAAAAGGGGGGGGGGGGCGGACGACAACAAACCCATACATTGTAAAAAAAATCTAAACACAAGCAAGTTTCAAATGTTCCAATCCACTCCTTTGAATTTAGAAAACTTTTTGGCTTATCTCCCATTTCAAACAAAGCAGTTTGAATTTGGTGAAGTGAAGGCACAGGACTGTTCTTGACTTTACATGGAGCAGATACATTAAAGTTTTCTATCCAAGAACATATCGTCTGCAATGTTCTGTAACCACAACCCCAACCCTAAATAAAGAAGAAGAAAAAACACAACCTTTGAATATTTTAAAATTAAATTTCAAAGAATACTTAGGAAATGAATAGTTTAATTTTAGAGGAAAGGAATGGACTTTTGATTAAAATTAAATTCACACAATGCCTTTTTTTTTCCTCAAATGGTGTGAATCATTACAAATTTTCATCTGATAAAACTAAATCACTTCAACATTTTAAAGGTTAAAATTTAGTAATGTCCCTCTTAGAGCTCCAGGGCTGTGACTGTGAGAGCTTTCCAAACACAAATAAGACTTACAATTCACCAGTGCAACCACCATCAAATTTAGACAAAGTGAAGGACCAATGAACATGAATATTATACTAAGTAAGTCTTTAGTTAAAAATACTTGAGTAATGGTAATGCTATAATAATATAAATTCTAAATACAACCTCACAAATTTTTCTTTATGTACATCAAATTTTCTTGAAGCACATTTACTCATTTAATATTATTAATCAACCCTTTCAATAATTTGCAAACTATTCTGTTAATCATGTATGTAAAAAGTAATCATTATATTGATTTACAACATCTGGCCAGCTGCAATATTTAACATGCCAGGCTGCATGTGGCCTAAGGGCCGGCCATCCATGCTATTAACTATAGTGTAATGAAAATGGAGTACAAATTCATAGTAAATTATTGATATCTCACCCTGTCATCTATTCCATCACATCCATAATGGTAATAAAGGTACTGACCCTTACACATGACTGCATCCGGTTCCGGTGGAAGAATGGTATGCACATTTACTAAAAGTCTTTCTTTAGGAAATGCATTTAGCTCTTTTGCAGTCATTTCCTTTAAAATAAATTTTTCATGATTTTTGTTTTAATAAGAAACCAACTTTGGCAGGACCTGTGTAGTTGATCAGAAATAAATTTACTTATTCATTCAATAAACTATACTATTAATACTATACACTGGAACCTCACATAACATACTTATTCTTAATCCATTCTTCAGGACTTAAACCTAAATGTTTGCTAACCGAAATATTTTTTCCCATTGAAATCAATATAAATTCAATTAATCTATTCCATCCCTAGAAATATATTATTTTTACATTTTTAAGTTATTTCTGTAATGCAAAATATAGAAAGAAATCTTAAAATATCTTAATTATTTAACTGTGCAGGATTTTTCCTCTTAGATAAAAAGATAGGTTAGATCTTACATGAAAGTTTTATTTATTTTTATTAATCTATGACTATACCGAGTATGGCTACATTTTGACTAGAAATAATACTTCAGACCAGGTGTTTCCCAAATTAAAATAAAATATAATGAATCAATCTGGCACTGGTACCTAATGCAATTTTGTACCCCAATCCACCTAACTTAGTTCTAACAGTTTGGCAAAACTGCTATCATTATTGTTATAATGTCCAGTTCATGTCCATTACTAAGTATTTTATTTTTATAACTTATACTTATATGTAATTTAGCTCCTCTTCTTGAATGTATCCATTAGGCCCACATTGTAATTTATAATATTAAGTCTCAAGCAACAAAAAATGTAATTAATAATATTATAGAAACTTAGCCTGCAATAGATTTAGAATAATATTTATAATTATAATTATATTATATAATACTACTACTGGATTGGTATAAATTATAAAGTAGGCTACATCGTCTGACATCTGATATTTTTATAATAATTAAGGCTTAATTGAGGTGAAGGTGTTATTAAACTGTACTACTAACTTAAACTAAATTAAACTTCTACTACAACTTCTAAGCAAACCTTAGACTCTAATTAAAATTTAATCTTACAAAGTAAAGTCTTTGGCCTACTAAGCCTAACCTAGACCTAAGTCTAAGTGACCTAAGCCTAAGCATAGCTGCCTGAGTAAAAGTGACATATACATTACATTACACAGCTTCCAGACATTGCTATGATGGTGTTTGATTTTGAATCGATAACTATTGGTAGTTATAACCTTAAAAAATGTATGGTAAATTCCGAGAAAGCGGACATGTTGTTTCCAAGGAAACGTACTAAATCATAATCATATTCATATCATTATAAATGAAATGTTGCAAACATTTAGTATATAAAAACTCTTTTGACAAGGAAAGTTTAAAATAAATAAAATGAAGTGATTATTCACAGAGCTGTGCGGATAACGCAGATTTCGGTCTGCCGATAACGCTCGACATCATTCGCGGGGAAGGTAATAAATTAAATTATGAATATATAAATTATAATAAATAATACAAAGTTCGCATGTAAGCATCTCTTTGGTAGTGTAGTGGTCAGTATTTCCGGAAGACCAGGGTTCGATTCCCTGTCGGGGATGCTACTTTTTATAAATAAATTTTAAAATAAATAAATATTTTAATGGTTATTTCGTATTGTTATTATTTGGTAATCCCTTGATTTAGTACGTTTTATTATTTCTTGAAAAATAAAATTTAAAATTCATTTTTGCCTTAGTTTTACTATTATTATTATTTTCATATAGGTTTTGTTATTATTGAAGTTACACTTTTTATTTATACAATTTTATTATTCTTTTCATTCTAAGTTTCGTCAAAAAACTGTAAACAACTTAAAACTACACCCCCACCCCGGCTTGGAATGTGATCCTAATTATTTCTAGAAATTTGCGTAATTATGGGAAAATTTCTGTCTAACAATAACGCTCGGCATTATTCGCAGATTTCGGTCTGCCGATAACGCTCGGCATTATTCGCAGATTTCGGTCTGCCGATAACGCCATAGCCATAACGCTCAACATTATTCGCAGAGCTGTGTGGATAACGCTTCCCTAAATAAAATTGTATCAATTTTAAAAAAAACAACTAATTATCATTTTACACATAATATAATAATAATGGGAAAAAAAATAAAATTAATTCAAAATCTAAAATATAGTATTAGTAGTAGTATCATTGAAAAACGGCAAAGACAGCTCTGATACTAAAGGCTATAGCAGTGGCGAAGGTGAGTGAAAATTAAAATTTACCACAATAAATAATGTAAATCATGAAATACTAAAATTAAATTAAATGAAGAACCAAGCTCTTAAGTTTAATCAAATTCTTAACAAATTTCTATTCAAAATTTAATATTCCTTTTTTTTCCCCATTAACAAGCTGCAAAATTATTGGTTCAATTCTTGTTACGTTGGTACTCAAAGCACCCCTCATCTCATTCTCCACCTGTTATTTCACATCAACAATTCGGTATCTACATTATCTCTATTAATTTTGTCTTGATGAATCTACTGCAGATTGTCAAGTTACTTAGGAGTGCCCTGTTCCATTTTCAGTTCTGTGCCCCCCTGCAGTCACAAAAGTCAATAGTGTTGTCAGTGTTGTGAAAGCAATGGGGGATAGTTTAAATAATTTCCCACATCACAATGTTGACATCATTGTTGGGCCCATTATTCTCGTTCACAGATAGGAGGCGATCAAAACATTGAAAATAATTCTGAAATTCCCAGTTACATGGTTTCAA